CTCTCTCTCTCTCAGCAAAAATAATGTCATGTCAAGTAAAGTAAAGTAAACTAAACTAAACTAGAGTCAAAAACGGAATACAAGATCCCCCCCCCTCCCCCCCTAGCTACCTACCTACCAATACCTTTCTCCCTCTCCAGCCCTACCGGTACTCACCCGCTCGCTCGCCCTGCTGCTCTCGATCAGAACATTTCATCTCTTCTACCCTACCCTACCCTACCCTACCCTACCCTACCCTACCCTATCCTATCCTATCCCTACCTTACCTTACCCTCCCCCATCCTACGATAAAAACTTCCTAAACCGAATCAAGCGACAGCCAGCCAGCCTACTCAGGGGACTGACTGGTTTTCGTCGTGGAGCGCCACGGAGATAGCTAGCTAGCTAGATAGATAGAATGATAGGTTTTCCTAAAGGCTTGCCGCCACCCCCCCCCCCTTTTATTTTAACCAAAAAACTCGCTTAGGGAGAGAGAAAAAAAAAGAAAAAAAAAAAAAGGAAGGCTCCATCGTGCGCAGAAGACCTACTCCGTCCGTACCCCGTAGAGAAGTAACCAACCACACTTTACAAAACGTACCTCCTGCCTTAGCCTATGCGCAATGATTGAAAAAGTCTTGAGCCACAAATACCCCATTTAAATCTCTTAGAGAGTGCCAAACTGCCGAAGCGACTCCAGCACAATGACGAAACTTTTCGATAATCCAGAAGCAAATTTAGAGGTTGCCTTACGTATCTATAGTCTACCTAATACACCTCACTCAGCAGCACAACAGAGTAATCTATCAACCCAACGACTTCGCATCACCATCCTTGATCTTACCAGCATCGACCAATCGCTTGACCTCCCCAGACCAGACACCCTTGATCTCATCCGCAATCTTGAGCCCATTGAGCTTGCCGGCTAGAGCCGCAGTCTCATCCGGATCAAGCTTGCCCTGCAGAAGCTCAACATCATTCAACACAGCATCGATAGCCGAAGCAGGAGCATCGCCAGTCACAAAGTAGTTGGCGTCCTTGACACTACCCTTCAAGACACGTCTGTTCTTCTTGACGGCAGCCTTTGCAGCCTCCTTAGCCTTCTTGCCCTGCTCTCTGTCGGCCTTGGCCTTCTCCTCTGCCTCCTTTGCGGCCTTAGCTTCAGCCTCCTTAGCGGCCTTAGCATCGTCAATCGCCTTCTTCTCAGCTGCCTCTTTATCAAGTCTCTTCTTGTTCTTGCTAGCGTTCGCAGCGTCGCGGAACTGCTTGATGCGCACATCTCCGGCCATAGCGTCATCGACCAATTTGCGCAGGCGTGCAACATCTTCGTTCTTCTTCTTCTTACGAGCGTTGTTGTTCTTTCTCTCAATGTGACGCTTCTGATCACGGCTCTCGTTGTCGTCGGGGACATCCTCGTCTTGGTACTCGAATGAACGCCATGAATCGAAGTTGTAGAAGAAGTTGTAGAAGTTCTCAACCTCTTCCTTGGTACTCTTCTCGTCTCCGAACTTGGGGACTGGCTGAGTCTTCGAGAAACGTCCCTCTGCCTTGAAGACATTGCTCCACAGCTTGTAGTATTTTCCATCTTTGGCTGCCTTTTTCGAGGGGGGGTCAACATCGGCCTTCTCGTCGACAGAGTCGAATTGACGACGCTTGACGGGGTCAAGGAGGACCTCGGTAGCCTTTTGAATACACTTGAAGAAGTTGTCGTCCTCGGTGTTTCCTGCAGCGGCCTTCTTGTCCGGGTGATGGCGTAGGACCTTCTTGCGGTGGGCACGCTTGATTTGCTCCTCGGTGGCCTTGAAGCGGTATTTGGAGAGACCTAAGACGGCGTAGTGATCTTGGCTCTGTAAAAAAAAAAAGTTAGTGAAGATCCCAGAGACGCAGATTGTGAAATATAACAGACCTTCCAGTCCTTGGCATCGCGAAGGAGCATAGAGGGATCTTCAGGCTCGCTGATCTCTCCAGAGTCCTCATCCTCGACCTTCTTGACATTTTCCTGGGCTTGGATGCGGTCGTCCTCGGAGAAGGTACGCTTGTGGCGGGCACGGCGGGCGTGGGCAAGAAAATGAGGGCCAACTGGCTCAATGCTGCGCTGGGTCGGTGTCGAAAGCTTTCCAATGGCCTTAAAGTCTTTTTCTGCTTCCCAGCCCGAGGGAAGAAAGGGCAGAGGAAGAACGACTTGCGTGTGTGTTGCCATCTTGTTCGTGGATAGCTTCAAACTTACTGCAATTGAAGGGCTGAATTATCTCTGTACTGTATCCCCTCCAAAAAAGTTCCGGCTCGGGGCTAGCACGGTTATGGGCTAGCGTGCACGTGCAGATAGATACCATAGGCCGTCGATGTTTATTATGATCAAGGTAAAGATCAGTTCTAACTAGACACTTGAGAATCTGGCATAAGAAAAGGCAACTTTTATAAAAATTCACTGAGTATGTCTTGCCTTTTTTCAAAAACTTGTAATGAGCGTAAACTAATGTGTTTAAAAGGGTCCGTAAACTTTCCCCCTTTTGGGCCTCGCAATTTTCCACCAGCCTCTTTATGCTATTTTCATCCTTTCCCATATTCAATTTAGCTTATCGATTTTTGCGCAGTGGATTTTATATTTTATATTCAGGGGTGATTTTGTGTCTCGAGAGTCTTTGTTTTGTCACGTAAGTCTTTGTTTTGCATCTGGCCTCCTGGGTAGCCTGGCGACTTCCAATAAAGTCTTCTCTGACCCTACAATTGTGATCTTTCTTTCTGCGTTGCTTTCGATTTGGTCCTTGGCTTTCCCGGAGTGGCTACTGCCTCGTTATTATCATCAATCTCCAATTGTTTATGAAGCAAGAGACGAGACGGTCGTCATGAAGTTATGCTTTGACACCAGATACAAGCTGAGGACATTCGTTACCGTTCATACCAAGGCTTCTCGACCCTTTTCACGCCTCCTTCCAATGAAAATATCAAGATAGCTTTATGGTAACTAAATTCAGATACTAACATCAAAGCCCCTTCCAGAGCCAACTTCAACAGCAACGCAAAGAATGGCCCTACCAGCCTACCGCTCTCTCCTCCGCTCAGCACGCCTTGCATTCGCGGGTTCGTCTTCCCTTGACCACCCACATCCATCCGTCATCCTCTCTTTCGCCCTCTTGCACTCTTGCCCTCTCAGGGATTGAAACTTACAATATACCCCAGGCGATGCACCCCTCCTCAAAGCAGCCCGTCAAGAAGCCCACCATGCCTTCCGCAAGAACGCCGCTCTAAGTCCCGAAGACCCTCTGCTCGCACCAGCCATCGCACATGCGAACGATGTGGCGAAGATTCTGAGGGAGAACGTCGTGCAGGGGAAGCTAGAAAATGATCGCTATAGTAAGTTATCATCCTCATTGCTGGTAAACTTCTGTTTCAAGCCCCGGTTCTGAAGGAGGACTCTAAGTTGTGAGGGAAGAAGGGAGTGGGGGGAGGGGATGAATGGATGGCTGGAAGGATGCTGATGGTGGATAGAGTTACGTATTCATGAACATACCGAGAGAGGCGATAACGACACAATCAAGATGCCGAATGGGAAGAAGGTGGTCATTGATGGGAAGAAGTGCTCTGACAAGTAGGGAATGCATTTGGGGACATAGGTGGTATTGTACTATAGCGTGGCATTGGGATAGAGTGTTGCATTGTATGAACGCGTTAAACTTGTATTTTTACCGAGACAAAAGCTATTTGCTTGATGCGAATGCAAATGTGACATTTTCACCTGGTTTTTTTTTTGTCATTCCAGATACATAATTAGGACTTGGTGTGAACTTAATGCAATAGCAGTCGTAGGTCACGGGAGTCCAGACCAAACCAGATAAGCAAAGATCTTCGAACCACAGCTACCTATGTTTGTGGCAGGGCTTGATATCATTTCAGACTCGTGGCCCTAGAGGTGTATCTTACGATCATAATGGTATAACAGATGAAGCATATACAGAGGGAGCATCCCGTGCCGTTCCCGAAAACGCCGCCCAATGCATTCTTTCTTTCCTAATTGTTCCCCGCCAAACTCGCATACTGTACATCCCCAGACCCAGGTGGAGCCGCCACAGCAGACATACTCGCGAGGTCATCGACTGGTGGAGCTGCGATTGCTCTCTGCGCCGAGCCACCTCTGGCACTACCCGAACCGGAGCTTGCAAATGCTAAGCGACCTTCCCTTCCAGTCGCGATCCGTTCCTCCCTATCCATCGTACCAATAGGTCTCGGTCTACCCCATTGAACCCGTAGAGGACATCCCGCAATGACAGCTTTTCCCTGCAGTGCATGCGCTGCAGCTTCGGCCCCGTCTCTCGTCTGATAATTAACGAATGCGCAATGGGACATATGCGAGCACACCAGCGACCGAATTTTCCCATACGGAGAAAAGAAGTCGCGGATCTTATGCTCTGGCAAATCATCCTCGACACCAGTAACGAACAGCGAAGTTATGGATTGATCGGCCGGGGGTAAGATATCCTGCTGTGTAGGAGGGAGTTGCGCCGCGCTGGGAAATGCTCGTCCGCCTCTACTTCCACCCCTTCCACCTCGTCCTGCTCCCCGAGAACTCGCCCCTCCTCTGTTATCCTTCGTTCGGATCGGACCTGGCCCATTCGTAGTCAAGGTTGTAGAAGCCGCACCTCCTCCTGAATTCTCTCCATCCGTAGGAGCAATCCTTCTTTGCTTCTTGAAGTATGGCTCCGAGTTCGCTAGTCTCCTCAGCAGTTCCCTAGCCTTCTCATCTGTCTTCTCATATGCCTCAACTCCACCTCTGCCCTCCTCGATTTCCTTCTCGTGTTCCTGTGCGTAGTATTCCCTGTTTACTGCGCTCTGCGGACCTGGTGCGACCATCTTCAGCGCCGCGTCACGGACGACAATAGGCAGACCGAAGGAGAGATCCAGCATGCAGCATTGGCAGCAGTTCTTCAGGCGGGCGCACGTCAGGCAAATGTTGGTACGCTTATTGCGCGCTGTCCGGTCGGCTTTCCATTTGAAGACTGTGAATGGGCGCGTACAGATCTTGCATTCTTCTCCGTAGTCTTGCTTGATCATCTGCACGTAGGGATTGTCGGGGAGGCAGCTTTCGCAGACCGAGGGGAAGTCGGTCGTCTCCCAGCCCGAGCGGTTCAAATCTTGCTTGATTTGAGGAGGCATCGCGGGTGTCGGGGGTGTTGAGGTGGTCGGAGGTGTTATGGTATTTATGGCAGTTGAGGCAATTGAGTTGTGTCAAGGTATGATGAGGCTGAGATTTGATATCAAAACTACAGTACTTATCTCCGACCCCGTGACCTAGCACTGAGCGCGACGACCGGGGTCACCTTACTCTCAGGGGGATGGCATTCGTCAATTTCCCCCAGGGCAGCGCGCCGTGGGATGAATGTAAATCTCAAAATCCGCCGCAGCTTCTCTCACCCTCAACCCTCAACCCTCAATCTAACATAGAAGATTGCTCCCTGATTACCGCCGTTCCAATTGCCTCTCCGCTCACTCTCTACTCTCAATTCTACCATGGCTCCCTCCAAACTCGAGACCGAGGACCATTCCCGCGATGCCGCCTTCAACAAGGCCATGCATAAGGACTCGTCCGCCGCAAAAGGTGGTTTCAGCGCCATGTTGAAGAAGGACAAAAAGGCGCAACAGGCGGCTGTCGACGAGTACTTCAAGCACTGGGATAATAAGTCCGCAAAGGACGAGACGCCTGAGACAAGAGAGGTACAGAGGTTCAAAACGATCCCGAGCTGGTACACTTGACTGACCCACATGTCATGTATTTGTATTCAGGCACGAAAAGCAGAATATGCTACCCTCACAAGACAGTAAGTAGGGCAGAATCACTGTCTGGGAGCGCTACATGAGCTTCTGCTAATTGATCTACAGTTACTACAACCTGGGGACAGATCTGTACGAATACGGATGGGGACAATCTTTCCATTTCTGCCGATTTGCATACGGTGAACCCTTCTACCAAGCTATTGCCCGTCACGAACATTACCTCGCCGCCAAGATTGGGATCAAGGATGGAGATAGAGTTCTCGACGTTGGATGTGGCGTTGGTGGCCCTGCGAGAGAAATCGCAAAGTTCACTGGCGCGCATATCACCGGTTTGAACAATAACGACTACCAAATCGAGCGTGCCACACGATATGCGCAAAAGGAGGGTCTTTCTGACCAACTGAAGTTTGTAAAGGGTGACTTCATGGTGCGTTTACCTGCTCATGTATTCTACAACGTCCCGCTAATATGCGATACGACAGCAAATGTCTTTTGCTGAAAACTCATTCGATGCCGTCTACGCTATCGAAGCCACTGTACACGCCCCTTCCCTCGAAGGCGTCTACAGCCAGATTTTCCGTGTCCTCAAGCCTGGCGGTGTCTTCGGCGTCTATGAATGGCTCATGACTGACAAGTACGACAATGACAACCAACACCACCGCGAAATCCGCCTCGGCATTGAGCTCGGCGATGGCATCTCAAACATGGTCAAGATCTCTGAGGGAATCGCCGCCATTAAAGCTGCCGGTTTCGAACTGGAGCTCCACGAGGATCTGGCCAAGAGGCCTGATGCCACTCCGTGGTACTACCCTCTCGCTGGAGATTTCAGCATGATGGGCTCTATCTATGATTTCCTTACGATCGCACGCATGACCAAGCTTGGTCGTGGGATCACACATAAGTTTGTGGGTTTCTTGGAGATGATTGGTCTTGCGCCGGGTGGAACGCAGAAGACTGCTGATAGTTTGGCCGTAGCTGCTGACTGCTTAGTTGCTGGTGCGAAGGAGGATCTGTTTACGCCTATGTACTTGATGGTTGCGAGAAAGCCATTGAAATAATCGACTCGTGACAAGAGATACGTCCCGAATGAGGTACGTGGGAGCATTTGGCTGTATTTATACTGTAACATGTGTTAGTAAAGCATGGCTCAGAAAGGGCTTTTTCTTTGCGGAATGCATATAGAATCGGAGCACTTGTTTCTCTGGGGCATGTGGTGAGATAGATGCACGCTCATCAGGATAATAATATGAGATGATTGAAAGATATCAACACTCGCTGTCGAGTTTGCTGATCCCGTTCTTCCCCCGGCGTTCCTTGCGTTACTGTACTGTTTTGTTGCAAGTCGTAAAGTTGCATTTGCCGGTTCGAGAAATCTTTGCGCTCCTGGTGCAACGCCGGGTTCCGAAGTCCCTCTTCATATCGTCGCGACCCTGCATATTGTGGCCAATACCCGTCCCATCATAGGTACACTTTTGATCTTTGTCCCACGTCGCGAGTATTCCCTTGCAGGATAGGGGGGTCCCTCTACGCCGGTGCGGTGAAGAGGCCTTATGCTCGTGCGTGCTGTTGCTGCTGCTGTTGCTGCTGCTGCATCATTGCGGGTCCTCTGGAAGACCTTCTGAAAGAGACTTCAATCTACACTGTCTGCTTGCTTGATACATCATACGAGTGCGCGAGTTGATTGCTTTTTCCGCCCAGCCCGGTATCTCAACGCTGCAGTAGCCGGTAGCACAAGCTAAACCCACTGGGTTGCCTCCCGCTGGTTGCAAATTCCCAAAGGGGTAAATGCCCAAGAGATGTTCGGACTACATATTTATCCAAAGCCTGTGGTGCCCATGTTCCCTATTTCCCAGGTAGCCTATGGCTACCTATGGTCCCTGCTGCACTCTGCCACGGCAGACTTCCGTAGCTATGCTCAGAAAAAAGCTTTGGAGGAATGAAATCAGAATCACACGTAACTCGCTCTAGACGACCTTTTTTTTTCGAAAAGATAAGCTGACATGAGGACAATATACTACTCTGTCCCGATGTTCCTGGTTTTCGTCTCCTTCGGTCTCACGCTGCTAGCCTTGCCTACAAGCATCACTGGTCCTCTGACGCTTCACAGATTCGAGAAGGGCGACTGAGCCTTGACGGGAATCTGGAGCTATGTGGACGGGCGAGTCTTTGCGTCAGTACGTACTATTGCTGTTGACTCATTTGGTTGATGGTATGATTCTCTGTAGGATCTGGAGCTGGTGCCGGAGACTTGAATAGAGTGGTAACCATAGTGGTAGTAAACAGAGAATGGAAATGCGTTATAGTCGTCGAATCGGCTTTTTCGCTAACCGCCTACCACCTAAAAACTTTTTACCTACTTGATATAACTGAATGTGAATACCATTGTCATCAACCGGTAGACGCACGCGATGGCTCAGTGGCTCAACAGCTTCATGGCTATCCGAACTCCGCCGGTTGATGCCCCCCGATTACCGGTAAACCTATTCAGTTAGGTTTGTAGATGGAAACCTTGTAGCATCCCATTGTTACGAGCTTTCCAGTTGAGTTTTGCACTTTTTTTTTCCATTTTTTTTGCATTTTTTTTTTCGGGATGATGTTAGGAGGGTTGGTTGTTAGTTGGTTATTATTGTCTTGCCGAGCGTAGTTTTTATGCGTGAATATTCACTGCGATTCCCTCTTCGGAAGTCATATGATTCTGGTATCGAAAGCATGTTTTACTTGCAGCAGCTGTGATACATGGAGACCGTGATACTAGGGTTAATCTTTTGTAATGCTTCGAGTGTCATGTCTTTTCCTGGGGATATTGAAGTCGACTTCAACTCATCGCTCAAGAACTTCTTCAAGCACAAACGCCCAACAGGAGAGGAGAACCGCACTGGAAGTAACAAGCTCAGAGAAACAACGCTCCCAAAGATCTTCGCAGTACAAGGTCTTCCTGATTTTCTTGAGCCCAGCAAGATACACACATTACCTACCTCTGAAACCCGCCTTCCGAGGCAACTTCCAACAATCTGAAAGGCCTGCACTCCCCTCTTCTTGCCGTCCTCGTCGTCCTCATGGGTGCGCTCAACTCTACGTATCTCCTTCCTCTCTCCCCTCTCTCGAAATCCGACATCTTATCAAGCGCTTGAGAGCCCGGGTAACGTATAGGCTGCTGCTGGGTTGACTTTGAGGAGCCAGCAAAACCCACAATGAGAGCGCTAAGGGAGCCAAATAAACGACCTCCGAGGAGGGTACATGTAGATGCAAAACGAACTCGGCCACTTCCATTGGCATGATGTTGGGAGTTCTCGGCGTCGGGACCCTCATGGCTATCCTCTAGCACTGCTGATGAATTGAGTACAAGAACTGGGACCGTGTATCGGTAGACAGTAGACTACGGCTGCTATTCCTGATGCCCACAGCTTCTTCCACAACCGTTGTTTGCTTGGCCTTTGAGACTCGCTGTTTTCACTTCCCGGTATTCTATCTACTATTGACGTGTTACACCTGGCACTATAACTAGTACTTCTCCTGTACTAACTAACAGTTGACTTTGGACAACCATCCATCATAGTTGTCTCGGTGCGTCGAACCGAATATGCCAGCCAATATATATATATATATATATATATATATATATATATCGTCTAGAAG